GCGCTGCTACAGCCAGCAAAAACGCATATTGTCGAAAGGCTGTCTGTGTGTGTGTGTGTGTGTTCGGAAGCGAGTGCATTTTGTCACCCACTTTCATCTCAGCAGCCAGGAAAGCTGGGAGGCTGAAACTTTGGATATATGTTCCTACCCCATGTGTCATCCTCTCGTTTTAAGATCTTCCCCCGTACGCACCTAGACCCCGCGTGCAGCCCCTAAAAAATGTGTTGGCGGGAAACGACTTCGCGAACCAGGCAAGGTGGAAAGCTGAAACTTCGCAGGAATATTCTCTATGTACGTGCGAGCTGAAGATTTCAAACTCAGCTGTCGAGCTCCCCAACCACAACCTCAAGCAGTTCCTTAACCCAAAAATCATTCGCAACTCGGACTTGAACCGCAATCGTACATGCAAATGAACATGGATTTTTTGACAAACGACCGCTCGAGCAATACTTTCACTTTCTAGCGAACTGGAAATTCGCATTTTTCCGAAAAATCTGCATTTGTCATTTTTTCACAAAGCGAGCATTTACCCAAAAAAAAAAAAACCGGACTTCATGCAAAAAACCGGTAATCATGCACCTGGTTGTCCGTGCGGCTCTATAATGCACCATCTTCATCTTAACTGACGCCCTTCCCCCTGCATGCCGAAAAGGATCAAAGCACGGCCAACACGAATCAAGTGTTAGGTTACAGCGTAGGGATCATTCTTGCTAATAGCGATCTATGAGTTTAGTGCAAAAACGCATCGTCAAACCGGAGAGCGTGGAGCGTTCCAGCCTGGATTATGACTATTATCATGACAACATGTAAAACTGCCCCTCATATTTCATTAAGAAAATCAGCAGTTGAAATCTTTATATCAATAATTTCAAGTGACAACTTTAAAAAAAGGCTATTCATCGTTACAATAAAAAAGATTTAGTGGTACTAGCTGAACCGTATGAATTAATGTTACCTTGGATACGATGGACAGTTTTTTGAGACTTGGAAAGAACGGTGCTTCAGGGAGATGGGTTCGTTGGCGAGGCGCCACTTCTAGTTTTTTGCTGCATCGGCTCTGGCAATGACTCAGCTTCCGTGAAAGCCCTACTATCTCGATTAACATGTTAATCTGCTCCTTGTTGATCTGCAAATTCCAAAACGTATTAGCAAGGTGAAATGAAAAAGGACGGTAAAAAAAGAGGGTTCAACTGCAAAGGCAAAAACACAATTTTCAGGGAAGTCTGCAGTATTTCAGTTAGAAATATTTGTCTAAAATGACTTTTTTACCACTGGAAATGGATAGGTTATACATTTTTTTTAGAAAATGCGATTTTTTCTCAAAATTTAATAGCTATGACTGGAGGTTTTTTTAACGGATGATGTAGTAGACTTAAAACTTTGCCAGCTGCATCGAAGACGAAAAACAACAGCTGCTCAAAGTATCAGAGGTTATTTCTTTGTTAGTAAGCAGTGAAATCCGAGCTGGAGTTAAGCTCAGACCCATGGCTTGCTAAGCCAAAAATTTCCATCATGCGTTAAAGAGTCTGAGACAAATTAGTCCCAGTTCTTCAAAAGTCCACTGATCATGAAAATGTACCTGCGCGACGAGCAATTCGATAACTGGACTATCAACAAATAACTGTTCCACTTTTCGTCTTAAAGTGAAAAGTAGGCGCAGCAGAGCGGTCACATCACGTGGCTTCAGTTCGGAGTCGATTGCAATACCCAGTCGATTCGGCTCCAACTCCACCAGCATTAGCGCCAGCGATGGATGCCAGTCGTACTCTGCTGAAATCACAGTCACTAGATTTGCAATATATATATCATCAGTAAGCTAAATTAGTTAATTTTTGATTTCTTTTTATCGGATCATATCGAATGAAATAATGCCGAATCAATGCTGGATATGTTACTATATTGCCAGAGCCGTACAGACTACATCTTAAAATGTCTTCTTGCGCATGATGCTTGGGCGGATCCCTTATCTCCTGCTTCACTATTTCACTGTATTATGCAAAAAACTCTCGGGATTTTTAGAGGATTACAGGTCAGTATTTTATTAGGACTGATCGTGTAATATAGATGACAGATGACAAATGGGCTGAGCGGACTGCTGAACGGCACTCATGCGATGTAAGTAAAGACTAAGAAAGCTGCGGTGACTGGGAAAAACCAATCCCTGTGTCTTGTATCGAGTGAGGTGGATGAAGATAGGAATTTGTAGAATAGAGGGATTGGACTTATGTATCATGTGTAAGAAGACATCTTACGATGCAGTCTGTCTTTGTTTCATCCCTTAGCTGTAAACATTGACCGAACTTTGCATGCGGGTAGGAGCGGGAATGCAGAAATGATAAGTTGGTGCATCGATTACGCCAGAAAAAAAGAGGCCAGTGAAACAACAACTGTTCAGGATATCAAAGTACCATCTGAATGACGGAGTGAGTGGCTTACATCCGGCGCCAGCTTTGTGGCGCAACTGTCGCAGTCCACCATATACCTTGATGTCCACAACGGTATAAGCATCGAGTCGTTTTTGGGCTGCTTGCCGAAATCCCTTCGAAATTTGCTGCCATTTTATTACATCAAACAGAGATGCCTAAAATTATTGTTAACACACATTTAGTGTTTTTTTCAAAAGCAAACTGAACTGTCGTAAATATTTTTCTAACCAACAATCTTTGAAGTTTTGCACTAAAAACCTACAGTATGTTCCTCTCCTTTTCATGCTTCTCATATTTCCCCCATTCGTCTCTTCAGAGAATTCGAAACTTTCAAAAATAAAAAAAACAAGTTTGCCTGATTTAAGGAAATACTGGGACTAATTAATTTCACTTTTTTGACTACTGTGAAATTCTAAATTTTATTGTTGGGCTACGCAGCAAACGAAGTAGGGGAGTAAAATGCACTTCATCACTATCAATACAACAGATCTGGCAAATGGACTTACTCGATTCACGATAATCTGAATAATTTGGTCAGTGAGGCGTGATGTGCCCGCTCGACATGAACAACAGCGCTGAACACTGGCTGCTATATTGAGTGGCAGGATTAAAGCCATTGACCGGATGACGTGCAACACCGATTAATCAAACAATCTAAAATTCAAAAATTCCACAGAACAATCAGGATTATCACCGAAAATCAGGACAACGTACTATAAGCATACGAAGGAAGGAGTAGAAGAACTTGATGCTAAGAATGTGTGATGTTCTCTTTCGATGCCGCAAAATTGCTCCTACGCAAATCACCGTACTGCCTATGACCTGCACGGCACCACTAGACAACGCAGAGATTAAGTGCCCAGCATTATCTGACAATCAAAGAAAAGTGGTATGAGAATCAAAGAAAAATTCCATGACATTCCGCATGGATGAATTAGTAATGCAAATCAGTGCCAGTTCAAAATCAAATGGTATTTTATCTTCATTATTATTGATTATTATCGTCATTATTGATTACTTTCATTATTAATTATCATTATTATTATTATTGTTATTATTATTATTATAATATTATTATCGTTGCTATTATTATTAATATTGTTATTTATTATTAATATAATTAATATTGTTCTTACTACTACTTTTCTTATGACAACTATCATTAATATCTTGTATTATCACTAATGTTGCTATACATTGTAATATTATTATTATTGCTATTATGACATTTTTTATTACTATTTCAGCCTCATTTCTACTTAACTGAGGAAATGACGCCATGGCAGATGGTCCGAAACCGGACTGATGTAGTATAACAGCAGCATCTTGCATTCAGCTGTATTTCTCTGACGTTAAAGAACCCCGGGCATTAATTTCGAAAATGACTGCTTTTATTCGATTTTTGTTTTCTCTACTTGTTAAGCGGGAGGCAAGAAGAGGGAAAGGGGCTGAGAATTGCTGCTTCTCGAGCGGAAAAGCTGGAGATGAAGATGGTGAGTTATAGCAAGGACATCTAGAACTAGAGGAAACAAAGCAGGATAGAAAAAAAAGCGGCCAAAAAAAGCAGCTAAAGCCTTGTCAAGTACCACTGAGGTGATAATTCACTCAAAAGATGAAACAAATGTGAGGATCACCACACCAACATTTCATCTCCCAGGCGATGCAGCATTGGTCAAAGCAACTGGAAAAGTTGTTGAATGCAAAGTCCATGAATTAGCTGCTGACCCAAATAAGTCAGAATATCTCTAACTCACGATAAAACGTTATTATGCAAATTTAGTATGCTACATATAGAAATCGTCGTTGCGGCGCCAATTTGCCCTAAGAGCAAACACACATGAAACCGAACTCCGATACAGCAACTGTTAATATCAGTGTATGTGCAGCTGATGATATCATCAACTAACTGATAATGCTTGAAAAGTTTTGACATTTAATCGTGCCGCGCATCGATAAGAAAACCGCTAAAATGACATTTTCAATATCATAATCGCAACGGAAGTTTTCAGAAAAAAAAACTGTTAAAAATTTCCCTTGACATTTTTCACCTTTATTTCACGTACTCGCTACTTATGGCGTATTTTTATACATTAGAGAGACTTGGGAAACCTGGCAAAGCACCCAGGAAACAGCGCAAAAAGCATGAAAACTGACGCCGCAATTCCAGTTCCTTTATTATTAATCCCTCTTCAATAAGCTGTGCGCGCAGTACACTCATCACTTTCCGGATGGCGATGAAATTACTTTTTAACAAAAACTGGAAATTAAGGGACTGATAGCTACTGGACAGTGAATCACTCACTCACTCACTATTTCCGAGGAAATGACAAATCAAGGGACGATCGAGTTCTCAGTTTACAGAGTACAGTAATGCCACACTGCGCGAAATACTGATGGACGCCACATTATGCTGCGCATCATTTGCTCCGTATGAGATCGCTCGTTTCGAGAATACTATGATACAGAGAGTATTCAGCAACAATCTGAATTGTATTTCAAATGAACGATGCGACAGTATTGGAACAAAGCGGCATATGTTTCGCGCAGAAAGCAGCTGGAAGAATATTAGAGATTAAAGATACACGAAGATTCTCATCAAACAGAAATGTGACGTCCGCCCTTCCGGAAATACCTGCTAGTCAAAAGAGTAATTTTGAAAACGAAACAAAAACAAACTTAATTTCAGCATAAACGGGAAGCGCAGACAATCTATCAAGAATACTAGCAACAACGATCTCGCTGCCGCAAAACAACTACTTCCAAAACAGTAGAAATAGCAGAACGTAAGGGATTGGAATAAATGTCATGTGTAAGAAGGCTGGTTAAGATGCAGTCTGTCTTTCATCCCTTAGCTGTAAACACAGAAAGCGCGTCGCTTACATCTTAAGGGGATGCGAGAGTCAAGGTAGGATATCTATACACAATGCGTATAGAACATAAGGTTGCCGAAATAAGAGGAGGGGACTGACCCCTTTGACTCCAGTCATTTATTCTTTTTTCAAACAAAAAACAGTGCCAATAACAAATTCGTGACGAGTTTACAGTATTTGCACCAGTAGAACTACAGGGTCAAGCGATATGTTTTTATGTGGATGGGAGGAGTGCAGAAGATAATGTTTTTGCCAGCTTTATTAGTGATCGGAAGAATCGCAGCTTTATAATTTGGCGACTTGGCGAAATCATACGGGGATTAGTTGTCCCACTGGGAGGAATCGAACCCTCGAGCTCCCGGAAGAGGACACTGGTGCTTACCACTGCGCTATACCCACCAGCAAAATGAAAGGGTGACAAAACGAAGTTTTGAAAGCAATAGCTTAATTCAAAGTTGAAACTTTTCAAATTTAAAATTGAAAATGGATGTGCGCGGTGCATCTGCTGTGAGTGGGTGTTGCATGAAACGAGGGACGAGGAGTGGACGAACGGGGGCACTGCGCTCCAGTGAACAAATTTGCATATTGGGAGAGTGCGAGAGGGCGAACAAATTTGCATATTGAGGGAGTGAGTGAAGTGCGCCTCAAGGCACTCCCTCACTGCAGTGCTCGATCAATAGCATAGCTGCTGACAGCCTCCTCCAGAAATCCCTGGGATAGATCCGGAACACCCAGCAACGGCCCTTAGCAGCGCACCAAATGTTCGCGCACAGCTGGTCCGGCTTATATAGCAACGACACAAGATGGCTGTGAGCAACGCTATACCACGCCACTGCATAGCATTCATTCCGTGAATTGCAGACAAGGCCGCTGCTAGTGGTGCACACACACATATAAACCCGCACACACGGACACATTCACATACATACAAACATGCAGACAGACACGAAGGATTGCCCTAGATACACACAGACAAATTTAAATAAGCACAAATGTGCAGACAGGCATTCCCAGGTGCTGCTGCTGCTGCAGTGGACAGACAGGCATAGCTTGACGATGACGATAACGACAGACAGAGAGCTGAATCCATGAAAAAGGGGGAAGCTTTGAATTCGAGCAAAGCACAGCAGCCTCAAATGAAACGCATTCCCAATGACCGCACTGTGACCGCAACCCCAGTGACCACATAGTGACCGCAACGGACATTTTAACGAGCTGCGTCGATAAGTGGACAGGTTATTTTAAGGTCAATTGAAGTGCAAAGGTCATACCCAGTCACTAAAGTGCGCAGGCTCTGTCTGGTAACGAGAATGACCTTTATTAAAAACACAAATAACTGGCCAACGCACGGGCTGCCCGTGCGAAGATGCGCTTTTTGCAGAGTTCCCCGCAGATTTCTGTCGCTAACGGCACTGGTTTTTCCGGCAGATGCCTCTAGCTAAAAGAATTTCAGACTGGCCGCCAGGACTGTCATGAAACATCCCTTCAAAACTCCAGTCTTCTAGCTCCTCAAGTTCCCCAGTTATCAACTTACCCCAAAAAAAAAAAAATCTGCCGGGCCCTTACGTGGAAATCACGCATACCCGGGGGCTGGGCTTGAGCTCATTAATACCCACTTGGATGGGGAACATCCCCTTAAAACTGCAGTCTTCTAACTTTTCAGTTTCCCGAGTTAGCAACTTACCCGAAAAAAACTTTGGCGAGCCCGTACATGGGTACTACGAACACCCGAAGCCTGGGTGTGAGCTCAGTGAGACTTATATGGACGGGGAATATCCTCTTAAAATTACAGTCTTCTAGCTTTTCAAATTCTCAAGTTAGCAGCTTACTCGCCAAAAACTTTCAGGGGCCCGTACGTAGGTACCACGCGGGTAAGAGCGACCATTTTGGGGACTGGGGTTCGTACATCCATGTAAATTAAAGTCCCAAAGTTTCGGCGCTGTAGCTTTTTATGCGTTTTTTGCAGCAATGCAATGCGAAAAACGCATATTGACGAGAGGTTGTCTGT